AGTTGTTTATTAAATATAAAGAATACAAGGCTATCCTTAGGTATCTATTCCTAAAGAATCCTAAATATTGTTTACAATAATAAAGGGAAGAGGGTGTCTGTTGCTTATTCTAACTTGGGGAAATTAGTGGGGTTTATATATTTGTGAGCTAAGCGACTAAGCGACTGAGCGACTAAGCAACTATATAGTTAAGCGACTAAGCGACTAGGCAACTAAGTAACTAAGCGACTAGGTGACTAAGCGACTGAGCGACATGTTAATAATACAGGATAATAATAATAATAATATTCTAAGATAATAATAATAATTAATAAATAAATAATAAATAATAAAATAATAAACTAATAATTAATTCGTTCTATAACAGTATAATTTATATATAATAGTGTTGGCATATAACCAGGTCATAACAGGTCATATTTAGAGTGTTCGGGATTATAATTTGACATAATATTCGCATAATTCACTTTATAGTACATAAAATATGCGATTTTATATAATTTAAAGAAACGTATAATCTCGCATAATTTAGCTATTCTCATGTATAAAAAAAATTCTATTGGCCAATTGCTGTTATACAGATTAAGTTATACAGAATATATTATCAAGTCAGTCTATATATACTCTAATGTTGGCTAATTCCAAGTAGAATCATATGAATAATTTATGCTAAACTATCATAGTATTTACACTTTAAAATTACAGTCAAACCTCTATAATTGCACCCTCTTGGGACCATAGGATAAATTTTAAAAAAAGTTTATTTAGAGAGGGTGTGCATTTATAGAGTGAATTTTTACTATGTTTCTATATACTTGGAACCATACTAGAGCATTCATTTAGAGAGAATTTACATAGTAGTGCATTTATAGAGGGTGCAATTATAGAGGTCTGACTATAATAGATCTGAAAGTAGTAACAATTATTGATTATACCAGAACTTTTATAGCATTGGTATAACTATTACATGCCAATACACTACATATTGGTTATTCAATATAAGTTATATATATACTTGTAATTTTTGACATAGGCAAATTAAAAAAACTAAAAATTTCTAGTAAAAATTTTATGCTTTTAGATTAGAAAAGAAACTTGCAATTAGGTTAGAGTTTGAAAATATTATTTATATAATAAATTTTACAACACTTAAATCAGTTTCATAGACTAATTTTTTGGTTATAAGGCAAGACCAATTTGATTCTGTTTTATATTATCTCCCCACCTTCCTTCTAATAAATTTTATATATTATGTGGTCAATCCCCCCTCTCCAGGAGAAAGAGGAAGTAATTTAAAACACAGAATCAAGTTGGTCTCACCTAAATATTTGTCTTGCATTACAGCTGGTTTTGAAATTTGGTTGGTCAGCAAAACTTTTTAACTCTAATCCTGGGGTCCGCATAATTCGCATAATTTACGATTTGCCGCATACATAATTTTGCAATTACCGGCGCATAATCCTGGACACTCTAGTCATATTACTAAGTTCAATTAGTGAAGTCATATGACAGAGATCATATGATCTTACTAATTGAACTTAGTAATATGACCTGGTCATGTGCCAACACTGATATATAATATAGGTTAAAATGGCTCCAAATCAATAAAGACATAATTGTATATCTTTAATAACATTCATTGACATTTACTTTAAAGTTTTAAATACAAATTTTGATTTAAATTTCTTTGATTTCGCTTCGATCTGTTGTCTAAAATTAACGATTATCATTCTGGAAAATGCTCATTTTTCGGAACAAAACATACACAAATTCCTGGTTATTCCCATAGAACCATGATAAATTCTGGGTAAAAATCAAATTCGGGTAAGATTCGGCTTCTAATCTTTTGTACTTCATTATATTTAGAAGCAGAATCTTACCCGGATTTGATTTTTACCCAGAATTTATCATGTTCTGTGGGAATGACCAGGAATTTGTGTATGTTTTGTTCCGAAAAATGAGCATTTTCCGGAATGATAGTGGAATGATAATCTGAAGAAAGTCGAGATACGTTTTTTGAAAATTTTTTTATAGGAGCACGGATACCCGTGGGCCCAACGGACTAGGGTATTAAATTTTGGGCCCTAGGGTAGGGTAAGGGCTTAAAAATTAAGCCCTTACACAAACGGGTAGGGTTAGGGTATCGCTATTGCCCGGCCCAGTTACTATTAGGGTAAGAGTTAGAGTTAAGGGTAAAATTGCCCAACGAAAACTTTTGTTATACGGATTTTCCAGAAATTTTTCGGTTCGTGTTACGTTACACATGATCGTGAAATCTGATTCACTACTGATTAGGGAGATCTGCAATCACTAATAGTAGATATCGATATAAATAAGAAATTTTTGAAAATAATCTCAATAAACGAAAAAACATGCCATCGACTTTTAATACATGTGAACGAGAAAGGTTATTTCTAAATCCAAGCGACAAAAAATTTGGAATACCAGAACTACAAAAGCTTGTTAAACCGCATATAGATTCTTTTAATAGCCTATTAGAACCACCCACAAAAGGAATCCTTAATTATGCGGTTATCGACATTGACCCGGTTGAAATATTCGATGTTAAGGTTCCTTATAACAGTACCGCACAGGGAAATAAATTAAAAGGTATTTTTGGTCTTTCATTTTTGTACATTATTTTTTCAGGTTTTAATAATGCTTTCGTTATCTATCAAGTATGGATAGAAGAAGTTTTAATTTCTAGACCACTTTTATCTGAACATGTTCGGGCGAAAAAGAGGAGGATCTATCCTGCTGAGGTACGATATAAATTTTTTTGTGTCTTTCCTAATTTATTATATTGATAAATATATAAACTTCTAGTGTCGCGAAAGATTCACTACATACGCGGGAAAAATGAATATCAAATTGTGTTGGAAAATAAATGATGCTAATACAAATTTTGAAACTAAATATGTAGGAATGGCTCCTATTATGGTTAAGGTAATATAAAAACAGTAAAATACTCATTAAATGATTTAAATGAATAATTATTTACTTGCTAAGTAATTTTATTTAGTCCAATCGTTGTAATTTACAAAACCTTTTTCCTAAACAATTGATCGAGAATCACGAAGAATCTGAAGAAATGGGTGGTTATTTCATAGTTAATGGGATCGAGAAGGTCATTCGTTTATTGTTGGTACAACGGAGGAATTATGTCATGGCTATTATCAGACCGTCATTAGCAAGCCGTGGCGCATCATACACTGAATATGGTGTATCTATTCGTTGCGCTAGACAAGATCAGACGACTATGACAAACATTATACATTATTTAAAAAACGGTAATTGTATGCTTAGGTTTTCATGGAAAAAGCAAGAATACATGATCCCAGTAATATTAATTATGAAGGTAGATCATAATTATTATAAATATAGATATTTAAATTTAAACCGAATATCATTAATAATGGTATATCCCTTCTTAGGCTTTGATTGAGATCAATGATAAAGGAATTTTTGAGCAGTTGGTTCAGGGAGAATTTTCCAATACTTTCTTAACAGATCGTGTGGAACTTATGCTTCAAGAGTTTAAATCATTTGGCATTCAATCCAAAGAACAATGTGTTAGTTTCTTAGGTGAAAAATTTCGCATCATCTTTTCTATTTCACCGTCCTATTCTCACAAACAGGCTGGTGAGCATATATTAAAAAAGGTGATATTAGTTCATCTTAAGCATAATCGAGATAAGTTCAATCTATTGATGTAGGTAATACGTTTAAATGCATGCATTAGTATAATGGGAATTTGGGTTAAATTCTTTAATTGAAATTTTTATCTTTCGCGCTTATAAAAGTTTTATGATTCGTAAGCTGTATTCTCTTGTTGCTGGTGAATGCTCTCCAGACAACTCAGATTCACCGCAAAATCAAGAAATTCTTCTGGGCGGACACCTTTACGGAATGCTCATCAAAGAAAAACTTGGTGATTGCTTAAATTCTATCCGTGCAGTAGTTGCTGCGGATATTGCTAATAATAGGCCGGTAGATTTCAATGATAGTACGTGTGCATTATTTTGATTTTACCTAGCGCCATTAAGTATATATTTGTATGAACCTTTTTTCTTTTTTTTTTCCTTAGAAAAATATATCACTAATTTATTCAATAGATCTAATATGGAAATTGGCAGAAAATTGGCATATTTCCTTGCTACAGGAAATCTTGCTTCTAACAGTGGGTTGGATTTGATGCAGGTACACTTTAAATGTTGATTTAAAAAAAGCGCCATTTAAAATTTAGTATAATGACTCAAGAAAATATATTTTACGTTTGAAGACTAGTGGTTATACTATAGTGGCAGAAAAGCTTAACTTCTATCGTTATATTTCACATTTTCGGTGCGTTCATCGTGGATCTTTCTTTACTCAAATGAAAACAACCACTGTACGGAAACTTTTGCCAGAATCGTGGGGTATAAATAGATAATTACTATATCAAATCATTTATTATTACTTGTAGAGGTGATTCATTTGAGTCAATTCATTGGCCAAGCAGGATTTATTTGTCCCGTACATACCCCGGATGGTGCACCGTGTGGATTGCTCAACCACCTTTCCCACACTTGTAGGATCATTACTACCAAACCTAACGTAGAAATGGTTCCATCCATATTAGCAGAAATGGGTATTATAAACAGATTAGCAACAGGTACCCATGACACTAAAAAAAGTTTTTTATGTGTGCAGTTGGATGGGAAAATTATGGGCTGGTGTGAATCAGGACATGCGCAATCAATTGTGAATAAATTGCGATTGTTAAAATTTGAAGATGAGGTATAAAAAAAACTTATCCTTATATTATAATTAGTTATATTGCATATATTTAACCATGGTTGAACTACTTAGATTTCTATTGACCTTGAAATCGGATATATTCCACCTTCTAATGGTGGTCAATATCCGGGTATTTACTTATTTTCTGAACAAGCACGTATGATGCGACCCGTTAAATACCTTGCTAATAATGAGGTTGATATGATTGGAACATTTGAGCAGGTATTATGATGTATTCTATAACGAAATAATGTTGCGTTAAGCGTTTGGATCAAAATCGATTTTTTTGTAAAATAGGTATATATGAACATTGCGTGTTTAGAGGAAGATGTCATCAAAGATGTAACAACCCACATAGAGATTAAACCCACAAACATGTTAAGTATTTTAGCTAATTTAACACCATTTTCCGATTACAACCAAAGTCCTCGTAATATGTATCAATGTCAGGTAAGATTTTGATAGACTAAATATATAAAAACATGACTAAGTTGTTCTAATTAATATATTCTGTATATAAAGATGGCAAAACAAACGATGGGTACACCCTCAACCGCAATAATGCATCGAACGGATAACAAATTATATCGACTTCAGACTGGTCAAACCCCGATAGTACGACCATTGCTTCATAATACTCTTGGTCTAGATGGGTTTCCTAATGGGACAAATGCCATTGTAGCTGTGATTTCATATACTGGTATTACTTATTTAACACTAGAATATTATAAATAAATTTTATAATTAATAATTTATACATACAATAGGGTATGATATGGAAGATGCAATGATTATCAATAAATCTGCTCATGAAAGAGGGTTCAAATATGGTACCATATACAAATCCGAGATAGTCAGTCTTGATGAATTCTATGATTCTGGTATTAAGCACCATTTTGGTCTCGGTGCAGACGCACCACCTTCATTGCGAGAAAAGCTTGATAATGATGGTTTACCGTTCATCGGAACACGATTAAAAATGGGTGATCCTTTATGTGCATATATAGATGATACACAAGGTGGTAAAACAATTGTGAAGCAATATAAAGGATCAGAAGATGCATATGTAGATAAAGTTAGATTACTGGGAGATGACTCAGGCGTATATGAAGTTCAAAAGGTGCAAATAATGCTAAGAATTCCGAGACCTCCTGTAATAGGCGACAAATTTTCTTCTAGGCATGGACAGAAAGGTATTCTTTCTCGATTATGGCCCCAGGTTGACATGCCTTTTACTGAAAGTGGCATGCAACCCGATATTATTATCAATCCACATGCTTTCCCATCACGTATGACTATTGGAATGTTTGTGGAAAGTATGGCCGGAAAATGTGGTGCTATGTTTGGTGTGGCCCAAGATTCCACACCATTTAGATTTAATGAAGAATTTACTGCGATAGATTATTTTGGAGAACAGCTTGTGCGTGCAGGATATAATTACCATGGAAATGAGCCAATGTATAGCGGAACTACCGGTGAAGAATTTCAAGCGGATATTTACATTGGTGTTGTGTATTATCAACGCCTTCGTCATATGGTATCGGATAAATGGCAAGTTAGATCAACCGGACCTGTTCATAATCTTACAATGCAACCAATTGGAGGTCGTAAAAGAAGTGGCGGGATCAGATTTGGAGAAATGGAGCGCGATTCATTGTTGGCTCACGGAATGAGTTTTTGCCTTCAAGACCGTTTAATGAATTGCTCGGATTTCTCACAGGTAGACTGAAAATTTTTCATTTAGACTTTTAAATTAATTTCTAATAAAATGATTTATACTAATTTTGTTTAACAGTGTCATATATGCAGAAAATGTGGCTCAATCTTTACTTCATTATCACTTAAAACACATTATCAATTAAATACTAATCGAGCATATAAAAAACATCATATTCAATGTAATATATGCGAAACTTCTAGGTGGATATCGCTTGTGAAAATACCTTATGCATTTAGATATCTTGCTACGGAGCTTGCTAGTATGGGAGTTAAAATTATTTTAAAAACCAAAGATGATGATTAAATCTTTTTTTTGGCAATGGCGATTAGGCGTCTTTGTTAATTGTAAAAAAATGCAACTGCTATTTTTTATTACACAGCAAATAGAAAATTGGATTTTTTTGAAAAAGATAGCTTTAGATAAAATTTATGACAACACATACTATTTAATATACTTTGTAAAAAAAAAAATTAACCAAAATTTACCAAAATTTAAATATTGTTAATTTAAATTTATTTGTGTATTAATAACATGGTTTTTTTTTAAAGAAATTAAAGAATCAACAATAAAATTTTGTTTATAAATTTATTGTATAGATTTATATATAGTTATTTTATAAAATTTTTACTGAATTTTTTTTTTCAACATAGCCAATTCCCCAACAACCTAAACCTCTGAAAAAAATTTATTTAACAGACTTTTTCACTGACAAAACCTTTTCTTCGAACTCTTGTTTTTCTAACAAGAGCTTTTTTCAAAACCTTTTCACTGACAAATATTATATGATATATTTCTCTGAAAAGATGTTTCTTCAAAAAAATAATTTTTTAAAAAGATTATTCTCCAAAAGCTGTTTTCTCAAAAAGAAAATTTTCAACAAGGTACCTCTTAATTAAACAAATTTGCATAATTCTTTATGCAATTTTTCCTTAATATTATTTGACATTAACTTTTCTGTTTAATTTAAAAGACAATATAAGAATCACTATATACCTTTTTTGGATGGTTTTACTACAAAATCCAGAAAAACATATTCCCGAAAGGACCTAATACCAACAAAGTTAGCTAACAGTAGTTATAATGTTAGCTAATTTAGTTGGTATTATGTACTTTTGAGAAAATGGTTTGGAGATTTTTGTAGTAAAAATCTACAAAATTCTGAAAAACAGATTCTTGAAAGTATCTAATACCTACAAAGTTAGCCAGCATTAGTTATAATACTGGCTAGTAGATATTATATTCTTTTAGAAAAGTGGCTTTCAGATTTTGTAATAGAACTATTTTAGTTTATCAAGTGACCCAGAATTAATAAGAATAGCTATAAATTTAGTAAAACATCCTTTGGTAAAAGAACTTTCAGTAAGATATTTTTGAAGAAATAGAATATCAAAAAAATATACTATTTGGTAAAATAGTATATTAGTAAAATAGACATTCATTTTTTTAATATTTGGTAAAATAAAAATTATAAATAAATAACTTATCAGTAAAATTTATTTTCAGTTAAATGAACTTTCAATAAAATGAGATTATCAAAATTATGTTTTGTTAATAAAATGGGACATTAGTATTATAACTTCAGTAAAATAGTATTTCAGTAAAATTGATTTCAGGAAGTTAACCTGTAACCTTTTTTACATAGTAAAAAATTAAAAATCATATATATTACATAATTGTTTATATTATATGGCTTATATAAATAATATTTTAAAAAATTAATCTATATTGTTTGTTACTGGGTAATTGTTGTGATCTACAAAAACGTGATTTTCTTAAAATTTTTGATTAAATCTAAATAAAGATTTCTCTCTTTTCTACTAAACAGCGGCTATATGCAAGGTTGGCATATTTGTCTATTGGTACCAATGGACCCCAAGTCCATTAACCAGATCTATTGGTTCTATTGGCTAATTACTGAACCCAATAGACAAGTATAATAAATAACTATATACATATAAATTAATATATATATGAATACTAGTAGAAACCAAGCAAATTGTTTTTAAGTAAATTTTTTTTTTAAAACTTTGAAATAAAATATCTCAACAACTATTAAACCAAATTTAATAAATTATTTTTATTTTAATTCTATATAGTTATAGAATTAAAATAAAAAAAATTTATCTAATTTGGTTTGATATTTGTTGAGATATTTTGATTTAAAATTTTAAAAAAACAATTTGCTTGGTTTTTACTAGCATTTCTATATAATTACTTATTACTTCTTATTCGGATAATCTATATGTACTCTATAGCACTAATATTTGCTGTTTTTTGTAAAATATAGTCAAGAAATAATACAAATAAAATTTAAACTTTTGCTGTGTTAAATAGCATAATATAAATATTATTCAAAATTTTTAATTTTACTAGTATAAATAAATAATACTGTATATATAAAAAAAAATGTATTAAATTATAGTTTATATTTTTTATTATATAATTTTTGCTAAAAGTTTAAAAGATTTACAGAATAAAGATAGCATTAATATATTTTAATAGTTTAATTATAATTAAATTTTACAAATTGATATTTTTGATAAAACTAGTATAAATCAATAGACCAATAAATTATGGTATTGATTCATTATGATCTATTGACAACTTCATTTTTAATGGACATAGCCCATTGCCAACCCTGCCTATATGTATGTATCTAATTATAGTAGTTGGTTGACATATCACATAATAGTAAAATTTTTTAAATTGGTAATACTAGAGTTTTAATAAGTATACATGTAGTAGATAATCTACAATATATATAAAATCATATAATTTATACTCATGCAAACTTTTGCTAAATACCTATTCATAAGCATAAAAATATTATTTCAAACATGCAAAAGTTTAGCAAAATTGAATATTTAAATTTTATAAAAGGGGTTAGGGTCCCATAGCCTAGTGGTCTAGGCACCTAACCTTCCACAGATGAGGTCAACAGTTTGATTATAGCTGGTGGTAATTAAATTAATTAGTTATCTCTGTAACCTACGGGAGCTTTCGAATGCGAAACCCTGTGACGATAAAACCATGTGAAGTACTTATTTGGCCTATAAAGAATTCTTGGAAGGAGTCCTGAGCCGTAGAGAAGACTGGGCACTACGTGTGACATGGCGTCACGGAAAGAAATACTGCATAAGGCTGTGCATGTAAATCCTCGATTGGCTAGGTAGCACCAACAACCCTAAGGCGGTCTTGGGGATC